AAAAAAAAAAAAAAAAAAAAAAAAATCATGGGGTCTTGCTGTATTGCCCCAGCTGGTCTCAAACTCCTGGCCTCAAGCAATCTTCCACCCTCAGCCTCCCAAAGTGCTGGGATTATATGTGAGCTGCTTTTATGGTTAAATTTCTTTTTTCTTTTTTTTGAGATGGAGTCTCGCTCTGTCACCCAGGTTGGGGTGCGGCAGCACTACCTTGGTTCACTGCAACCTCCACCTCCCATATTCAAGAGATTCTCCTGCCTCAGCCTCCCAAGCAGCTGCGACCACAGGCTTGCACCATCATGCCTCATTTTTTTTTTTTTTTGCATTTTTAATGGAGATGGGCCACCACGCCTGGCCTAAAAATTATTTTTACAATTTAAAAATATTTAAGAAATTTGAGGGAAGCAAGTAGAGAGGGTGCCAACATTTCATGTTGCCAAAGAACATTAAAAAACAACTAGCATTCCACCAGGCGAGGTCACTCACACCTGTAATCCCAGCACTTTGGGAGGCCGAGGCAGGTGCATCAGCTGAAGTCAGGAGTTTGAGACCATCCTGACCAACATGGTGAAACCCCATCTCTACTAAAAATACAAAAATTAGCCAGATGTGGTGGCATGCGCCTGTAGTCCCAGCTACTCGGGAGCCTCAAATAGGAGAATTGCTTGAACCCAGGAAGTGGAGGTTGTAGTGAGCCGAGATCACACCACTGCACTCCAGCCTGGGCAACAGAGAGAGCCTCCAACTCAAAAAAAAAAAAAAAGAAAAAGAAAACCCCAACAACTAGCATTTAGTCTCTCATTCATCATCATTTCATAACAAAAGGGAATTTTAACCCAGAAAAATGACAAGTTACAGAATGAGAGATACTTTTTTGAGTGTATTAAGTTTTGTTTTATAAAAACCTTGCTTCAGGGTCATTTGTTTCCCCTAATTTCACTACAGAATGGTTTTTAAAAACAATCTTTGCCCCAGAGAGCAGCAGATACATTGATTTTGGGAACCATGAAATTACAGATGGAAAAACTGAGAGGGAGGTGACCTTCCCAAGGTCACACAGGGATTATTGAGTCACAGACCTCAGACATGTAAAAGAGCCAAGAGCTGCCGGGCGCAGTGACTCATGCTTGTAATCCCAGCACTTTGGGTGGCTGAGACTGGCAGATCTCGAGGTTAGGAGTTCGAGACCAGCCAAATATACAAAAATTAGCTGGTCTTGGTCGTGGGTGCCTGTACATACAGAAAGCTGAAGCAGGAGAATCGCTTGAACCTGGTAGGCAGAGACTGCAGTGAGCCAAAATAGCACCACTGCACTCCACCCTAAGTGACAGAGCTAGACTCTGTCTCAAAAAAAAAAGGCAGGACGCAGTGGCTCATGCCTGTAATCCCAGCACTTTGGGAGGCCGAGGTGGGAGGATCATCTGAGGTTGGGAGTTTGAGACCAGCCTGACAAACATGGAGAAACCCCATCTCTACTAAAAATAAAAAATTAGCCCGGAGTGGTGGCACATGTCTGTAATCCCAGCTACTTGGGAGGCTGAGACAGGAGAATCGCTTGAACCTGGAAAGTAGAGGTTGCAATGGGCCGAGATCGGGCCATTGCACTCCAGCTCCAGCCTAGGCAACTAGAGCAAAACTCCATTTAAAAAAAAAAAAAGCCAAGGGCTTACCATCTTCATCACCTACACCCCAACCTCTATACTGAACCAGGGCCCCCTCCTCTAGCCCCACCTCTATACAGAACCATGCCCCCTTACCCTACTTCTGTACTGGACAACATCCCCTTTCCCCACTCTTACCTGTACACTGAACCACGCCCCTACCCCACTCCTGCCTCTACACTGAACCATGCCTCTTCCCCCACCCCTACCTCTACACTGAACCACAGCCCTTCCCCCATCCCTACCTCTATACAGGACCATGCCCCTTCCCCCACCCCACCTCTATACAGAACCCATGCCTTCTTCCCCGACTCCCACCTCTACACTGAACCATGCCTCTTCACCCTCCCCCCACTCCCACCTCTACACTGAACCATGCCTCTTCCCCCTCCCCCCACTCCCACCTCTACACTGAACCATGCCTCTTCCCCCACCGCTATATAGAATCATGTCCCCTTTCCCCATTCCCACCTCTATATAGAACCGCAACCACTTTAGTCACCCCCACCTATCTACTGAACCACGCCCCCTCACCACCTTCACCTTGGAAAGATCTTTACCTGGCTGTTGATGTTATTGTTTTCTCCAAACACCAGGAAACCCCCAAGGAAGGCGGCCAGGAATGAGTGCACCTGGTAGGTCTTGCCTTGGATGCGGGACTGCAGGGCACAGAGACCCTTGTAGGTGAACACAAAGCACGCCAGGTTCCGGGAGTGGATGTACGTGGCCTGCAGGATGGCCCGAAGCTTCTCCCGGAGGCTGCACAAACACAGTAGCCCCAAGGGCCTTTACACACCCATGCAAAACAACCAGCCAAGGAGGTCGGGGTAATGCTTATTCAGTCCCCAGCCTCCACCCTTCAAGTCTTTGGGGCTGTTCTCACCCTTCGTTCAGGCCTTGACTCAGTGCCACCTCCCCAAGGAGACCTTCCCTGATCACCCTGCATAACAGAATACCCTTCACATCCTGTCCCGCTCCTAATTTTCTTTTCCTTCCTAGCTGTGGTCACCACCTGATATTTATATGCTTGTTTATTACCTTCCCCCACCCCCCGTAGCAGCTACAAGAGGGTGGTGTCTGGATCTGGCTTGTTCATCTGCAGGGCCTGGGACATAGCAGTTGCTCAATAAATGTTTTCTTGAGTAAACATGTGAAGGAATGAGTGTCTGGCATGTGCTGGATCTGGGAATACGATTCTGAGAAGAAACAGATCTGCTCACCACCCTCAGGGGGCTTATGATCTACTGGGAGAGGAAAATGTGAAATAAATAATCACAAAAAACATTGACCTTGACAAGAGATGGTGCTGGGATCTTCCTGATGAGGAAGAGTCAAGGAAGTCAAGAGGGGAGGAGAGCTGCATCCCAGGCAGAGGGCGCAGCCCGTGCCAGGCCCTGAGGAGGGGCAGGGCGTATGAGGAAAGGAGCAGAGAGAAGCCACTGTAGCCATGGGCAGAGAGCCAGAGAACTTGTGGGGAGCGTGCAGGGCAGAGGCAGTGGGGCCCTGCTGAGTTTGGTCTTTATCGTGAGAAGTAAACATTTAAGTGGAGGAGGTGATTTTTTTTTTCTCACTCTTGTCACCCAGGTTGGAGTGCAGTGGTACAATCTCGGCTCACGGCAACCTCCGTCTCCCAGGTTCAAGCAATTCTCCTGCCTCAGTCTCCTGAGTAAATGGGCCTACAGGCACCCGCCACCACACCTAGCTGATTTAAAAATAATAGCCTCGTCTGGGCACGGTGGCTCATGCCTGTAATCCCAGCACTTTGGGAGCCAAGGCAGGTGGATCACGAAGTCAGGACATTAAGACCATCCTGGCTAACGCGGTGAAACCCTGTCCCTACTAAAAATACAAAAATTAGCTGAGCATGGTGGTGGGCATCTGTAGTCCCAGCTACTCAGGAGGCTGAGGCAGCAGAATTGCATGAATCTGGGAGGTGGAGTTTCCAATGAGCCAAGATCCTGCTACTGCACTCCAGCCTGAGCAACAGAGCCAGACTCTGAATTAAAAAAAAAAAAAAATCACTAGAGTCTGAATGCAGTGGCTCAGACCTGTAATCCCAATACTTTGGGAGGCTGAGCCAAGATCGTGCCACTGCACTCCAGCTTGAACAACAGAGAGAGACTATGCCTTAAAAAATAAATAAAAAATAAGCCAGGAGCGGTGGCTCACGCCTGTAATTCCAACACTTTGGGAGGCCAAGGTGGGCGGATCATGAGGTCAAGAGATCGAGACCATCTGGCCAACATGGTGAAACCCCGTCTCTACTAAAAAATACAAAAATTAGCTGGGTGTAGTGGCACGTGCCTGTAGTCCCAGCTACTCAGGAGGCTGAGGCAGGAGAATTGCTTGAACCCGGGAGGCGAAGGTTGCAGTGAGCCGAGATCGCGCCATTGCACTCCAGCCTGGCGCCTGGCAACAGAGCGAGGCTCTATATAAAAAAAAAAAAAAAAAAAAAAATTCGTTGGGAACAACATGGAAATCCAGTTTTCCTGCCTTAGAACTGGCAGCACTGGGGCCTGTGTTTGCATGAGGTGAGAGCCAGCTGCTCTCACTGTCCCTCGGCCTCCCAAAGTGCTGGGATTACAGGTGTGAGCCACTGTACCTGACCTAATCTTTGTATTTTTAGTAGAGGCACGGTTTCGACATGTTGGCCAGGCTGGTCTCGAAATCCTGATCTCAAGTGTACTACTCACCTCAGCCTCCCAAAGTGCTGGGATTACAGGCATGAGCCACCGCACCCGGCCTGGTAGCAAATTCTTAACCCTCACACTGTTAACACATAAGTCAGATAATGGTACAGCCCTGCTCAAAATCTTGCAACAATTTCCCATTGGACTTAAAGGAAAAGCCAAATTCCTCTCTATGACCCAAAGCTGGAGAGGACCAACCCAGGTCAAACTGTGACCTGCCTCTCCATCCTCTCTCCCCTTCAGTTCTTCTGCTCCAGCCTTCTCACATTTATCAGGCATGCTCCTTCCTCAAGACCTTTGCACTGGCTATGCCCGTGGTCTCACAGCGGCCTCCCCTAGTTAATTCTGCCTGTCCCCTCAGCTCTTCTGATCCCCTTTCCCTTTTTCCCTGCTCTAATTTTGCTTTTCCATAACCATATCACCTTCTAACATACCATAGACTTTCCTTATTCTGTTTATTTTCTGCCACCCCCTGCTAGAATGTCAGCAGGAGTCATTGTCTGTTTTGTCCACTGTTGTATCCCTAGTAATTAGAACAGTGTCTGGTACGTAGCAGATGCTCAATAAATATCTGCTGAACAAACAAATGAATTCAGTTTTTAAAAAATGACTTGGAGGCCAGGCGGGGTGGCTCATGCCTATAATCCCAGCACTTTGGGAGGCTGACGCAGGCGGATCACGAGGTCAGGAGTTTGAGACCAGCTTGGCCAACATGGTGAAACCCCATCTCTACTAAAAATACAAAAATTTGCCAGGCGTGGTGGCACCTGTAGTCCCAGCTACTCTGGGAGGCTAAGGCAGAAGAATCGCTTCAACCTGGGAAGTGAAGGTTGCAGTGAGCCGAAATCTCACCATTGCACTCCAGCCTGGGTGACAGAACAAGACTTCATCTCAAAAA